TGGAGTTAAATCCTTAATTATTCTGACTGCTCATATGCTGGTCTCTGGAGCTCCCCTGCGAAAAGCACCTAGAGTGTATGTCCTTTGTTTCACAATGCCTTTTTGGCAAATCATTGATTACTTTTGCATCCCCATCACTCATCCTCCCCATGTCTTTAAAGTATCTTTCTTTAGAATAAGCCGAAAACTCCACTGGTAAAATCTGCTTTAAAAGTTAATTTTGTCCTTCAAGCGCAAGCAGGGTGCACAGCTCCATGGCAAGTCCTGGTCCTCTAAGCCTGCTGAATCTAGGGTAAAGTCCTCTTTATGAAGGGGCACCTGGACCTTTACAAGGGGTGAGTACCTGGGCTAACACTTTCACTGTGGTTCCCTATACTCTGTTTCAATCCAATCACTGCAGCTTAATATTTTGGCTACGTTTGATTTAAAAAAAGGTTCAGTGCCTGAATCTTCCACTCCGACTATACAGCAAGACAAAGCTTGCTTTGGCGTGGTAGATAGCCAGTCCAGTGCTGGAGTAAGGAAAATCCAATCTGTCAGGCTGGGAAGGAATCCTGGAGAGCTCCTTGGTTCAAGGAACCTGATCTTTTGGAGGAATCTTGACTCATGATAAACATCTTGGATCTCAGGACAATTCGGATGTCTCTTCAATGCTGCAACTCTCAATTGCAGGGCCATATAACCAAGATCCAGTCAAACACCACAGCTGTGGCTTACATCAACCAACCATCCACCATTTTGCAGGAACCAGAGGCCATGCAGCTCAAGGAGAAACAAACCTGATTCTGGCTTGGGTAGAACTTCTTTTGTCAGCCCTGTGCACACCCATGTTATGGGAAATTGGCAATTTTCGGGCTATTTCTCAGGCATATGGGCTGAAGGGGAAAGTTCCCCACAGTATATCACAGGACGCACCCCTCTGTTTTCTGTGATCACTCTGTACTGCTTGCTGGGCTTTTTGGGGCAGTCTGCAGCTTTGATTGATTTGCCATCGTCCAATCACCAAATTTTAGTTGCATTGCCTAGTGATCAAGAATTAACTTCCATATCTTGTGATGTACTCCAAGAAACAGATTTTACATGCAAAACAAAGATCCAGTTTTTTAGCACATTCAACTTCCTTAAAATTGAAAACAACAAAAACTGCATATCTTTTAGCGGCACCTTAGTTCTAAGGCAATACACAAAATTGTAAATATGTTTTGGTTGATCACACCCCCTAGCTTGTCTTATGGATTTGGATGTAAGCAATGACTTTCTCTTTGGTTTGCTTCTGAAGCAGCCAAAAAACATGCGGAAATCGCTAGGTTGCCTTTGGATCGAAGGTTAGTGGTGGCATGGAGACATCTGCGATCCAGCATCTCTTGGGGACGCCATGAAGAATAATGTTGAAAAGCATTTCTAGTTTGCTTTCTTTATCCCTCAGGATGAGTGGCCATGACTGTCTTTGCCTTTACTCCTCTTCTACCCTTTTTGTGCGCATTAAAATAAAATTGCTAGGTTGACCTTGTAAGTTTATGGAGCATTGAGGTAGAGGATTTACTGTCTTGAGGGTGGCTGGACATGCAGGCAAGTCTGTAGTCAGTGGGAAGCCTGAGGCATCAGTAGTCAGTCAAGAGATATTAAGCTGCTCACCTTCTGCTTGCTGTAAATTGACTGAAGTGGGAAAGGGTCAGTTTTATTTCACACGCAGAACAAAAATCGGTGCTTTTTTTTTTAACATCTCAATTACCAGGCCAGAGCTGCGGAACATTGCAGAGAAAATGAAAGATATATTTTGAGACCAGGTTCTATAGTGTATGTGCTATAAAAAGCATTCAAGCCAACTTGTGCATTCAATATCTTTATGCCCATAAAGGGGACAGCCTAAGATAAAACATTTTATATCATGTCCCCTAATTGGATGGAACTTTTTATTTTATTTCACAAAGTCTGGTAGTAGACATACATGGTCTATCTTATATACGCTTAGGCCTCTGGATAAGGCAGTCAAGCTCGTATATCGTTGATTGCGGGATGAGGTTGTGCTTTAGGCTAGGTTCAGAGCGAATGCGGGTCCCGGGACCGTGCGATCCTGTTCGGGTGCACACAGCTATTGCGGCGGTGCCCCATTGATCTCAGTGGGGGTTACATCTGTGCGGCAATCACTAAAAACAAGGTACGAGTACCTCTTTTTGCGACGCACAACGCGCTGCTTTTTTTTTTATAGCCGTGTTCAATTGCACAGTGGTATCAAGGCAGTAAACCGCACGATCTGCCTGGTGCGACTGGGGTGCCATTAGAAAATAATGGCACCGCCAGCGCGATCGGCAGTGGTGGGCGATTACGTGACCGCGTCCATCAGCGCGGTTTTGTGCACAATTGCCACGCGGTCAAGGATCGCCTAGGTGTGAACCTAGCCTTATACTTGATGATCAGGAAGTGGCATATGGCACTATGGAACCTCTGGACGCCTCCGAGGGTTAATCTAGGAGCTCTTATTGTATTTTCTTAGTGCATGCATTGACCTTTTTTTTTTTTCTGTCCGTTTCAGTCTTTAAGAAAAAAATAAATTAGTTTTATTGAACAGCTTCTGGCAATTCTACACAAGGATGACGGAAGAAAACACAAAAATGTAATAGTGAAGGTTGCCCTAGCAGTGAGCAGCTGTGATTATCCATAGGGATGCTGTGCTAGAAACTCAGCAGTTTAGCCGAATCGGGACATAGAATATTTCTCCAACCAAGTTGAATGGAAATCCATTATCATAGCTGGAGCGCCCACAGACATGGAAATCAATAGTGCTTTGTTAACAATGACACATTTTCTTGCATGACTAGCTGACATAGATGAGACTTCTGTTGCCTGCCACTTGTTGCAGGACTCCTCTGGACATATTTCCTACCACTGACACTCTTGTAGCTTGCTGGAGGCTGTGATTTCTCTCTTCCATATGTCTGTTTGTACAAGGTTTACAGTAATTGCACTGGCGGTCTCAATGTCTTTGTATATTTTTCTTAAATTTTTTGTTTTGCAGATTAACTTTTGCCTTTATGACAAGTTTACAGCATTTAATGATTGCAGTGTTAAGATGTGACCGTTTTTAGGTCTTCGGTATGCCTGCTTGTATTTATATAGCGCTGACAATTTATGCAGCGCTTCACATAGTGCACATTCACATCAGTCCCTGCCCTTGAGTAGCTTACAAGCTAAGGTCCCTATCTCGCATACATGCATATAGGCCCATGCTAACACAGGGAGAACATGCAAACTCTTTGCACTTACAGGGCCATTTGCACCATTTCAGTTGAGCTCATTTACACCACTGTATTGATCTCCGTAATAATCGTAGCCTCAATACCAGGGCACATTAAAAAATAGTTTTCTATTTGCTGTGTTCACACCACAACTCTGCCTTGAGGAGGATTGCAGTGCGATGAATTAAAAATGCAGATATGCTGCATTTTTCCCGCACTGCACCTCATGTCACCACCAGCCACTGCACCCATGCACATCGTGCCATTAAGTCCCATTCATACCTGTAATTGCACGAGTTTGACCAATTCCTCAGACTCATGCGATCTGCTGCGGGAGGGAGGTACAATACAATGACAGCTGCTGCAGTCTGCACTCAAGTGTGGTTGGCTGCAGTTATTTGCAGCCGTGGTGGCAGCTGTCATTGTACATGGCTTACCACACTCAGCCGATTGCATGAGTCTCACGGAGGCATTGGTGAGACTCATGCAATTGACGGCTGCAAATGGGGTCTTAGTGTTGCTACCTGCCCTGCTGTTCTCTCTGAGCTTGTTCACACCAGTTGCGGTGCGTTCCACAGTGGGAGCTGCTGGAACGCATCGCAATCGCTCACAAAACTTCCCCCTGTGTTCTACGGTGGGAGGGGGCGTGGCCGTACATTGAATTCAGTGGCACCGCAGCCACGCCCCCCCCCACCCGTAGTGCGGTTGGACGCGTGGTAAAACATTGCCTGCGTTCCGTTCTACTGCAAACGCAAATAATAGAGCAAGCATAATTTTTTGCATTTGCAGTGGACCGGAACGCAGGCAATGTTTTGCCACATGTCCGATCGCACTGCGGGGTGGGGTAGTGGCTGCGATGCCATTGAGTTCAATGCACGCCACGCCCCAGAACGCAGGGGAAGTTGTGAGCGATTTGCGTTGTGTTCCAGCAGCTCGCGCTCTAGGACTCACCGCAATTGGTGTGAACAAGCCCTCATAGTTACTATGTAAATTCAAAGAATGTTACCCATGTGACAGTGTGGGTCTGCTGATGGGCCACTTTGGCACCAAGTATTACAGTGGGAAAGGCCAGAGGAAGGGAGTGCTATTACATGATAGTGGGAGTATTACTCCAGAAGACTGCCACTGCTGGTAGAATGCTAAGATGTACATCAGGGGTGCTCGTTATGCAGTTATTTTGCTTTTAATGACAAGGGACAAGGTTGCTTAGAAGATAAATTGAACAAAACAAAAATCAACCCTGTCCAGCCCTTCAAAGCTGCCCTTACACCTAGGAAGAGACAAACTTGTTGAAAGCCAGAGCATACTCGCCCACCACCTACATCACAAATGCAATGTGGAGACATTGGGGTTGATTTACTAAAGGCAAACAGGCTGTTCACAAGTTTCCCCTTAGCTTAGTGAATGTGGTGAAAATTCACTTTGTTTATGTATTTAAAGACCTTAATATATTAGCAGCCTGATGGCAAAGAGCAGTAGTAGTTGACTGGTAGAAAGGGTTAGCGGTTGAATGTTCCTTTAAAAACCGTGTATGGAGTAGAATTGTGACAATATTTTCTGCATCTCTTTATACTTTTAATGCTTTAAGTTTTTATATTTGATTTTTTTTTCATCCCACTGATCATTAATGGCAGCAAGCAGTGGAATCTTCCAATAATGATCAGCGTGGGTAAATGTCTCGAGTGTATTTTTAATTTGTGATTAGGCGGTAATTGTGTTCCTTCCTGAGCGCTGTAAGAACATTCCCGCTTTGTCTCCTGGCAGGTGGTTTTGAAGATCATTAAGCACTATCAGGAGGAAGGCCATGGAAGCGAGGTGGTGCAGGGAGTGCTGCTTGGACTTGTGGTCGACGATCGGCTTGAAATCACCAACTGCTTTCCGTTTCCACAACACACAGAAGACGACGCAGAGTTCGATGAAGGTAATAACATCGATATTGTAGTAGTATTGAACGCTCAATTTTTTATTCAATATTGAATCCAGACAAATATCAGACAAATATACATTGCCCTGCTACATATGTCTTTAAATATTACAATTACATTTCTTTAAATATTTGCCCAAACACTTTGTCATCATGTTCTAAAAAGCTATGTCCAACTCTCTCAGCTACACTGCCCTAAACTTCCTGTACAATACAAGATCACAAGGGAGAGCAGTCTCCAGCAGCTGTCTATCTACTAGCTTGGAGAAGGAAGCCAGGGGTGAGGGGTGGTAGTGGAGCGGCTTGTCCTCCTGTGTGTTTGTGGAGACACGCAACTTACTGGCACATACAAGGGTGATTCCAAGGATCCCCCCTAAAAAATATATCAGGGCAAGTGCTCAGGGAACCAGCTAATTCTGCAGGAAACTAAAATGTTTAAACATTAAGAAGAAGCATCCATGGTAAGAGCATTTGAAATAGCTTTAAAACATTTTGACTTCAATATCACTTTAGAGTACTAGAGGATTCTCATGCACACATGGAGAAAATGGATACTAGGTGCTCACACACATAGTCAAAATCTTGTTTGCTTAGAACCTTAAACTGGCCATACACCTATAGATTATCTGCAGATCTTCTATGGTCAGATGGAAATAGTGCAACAGATTCCTCCATATATGCTAAACTATGTTGGTGAAGCAATCTCCTGCTGGGCCAAGCTTCAGTATCTTGCTGGTCGGTCCCACTGGCTCTCATCCAATCAGATTGTAAAGGTGTTTTGAGAGCCAGCAGGGCCGACTAGCAAGATACTGCAGCTTGGCCCAGTGGATGATTCCGCCATCCACACAGTTTAGCGTAGATGGAGGAATCTGTTGCACTTTTCCCATCTGACCATAGAAAACCTGCAGATAATCTATAGGTGTATAGCCAGCTTTAACATGGAGTGTTTTGCTGCGGAGATCTCCACGCAAGAGTTGTAATGGTAAGAGTTAGAAGGCAAAAGTGTATAACTTCTGGTAAAGCATGCTGCAGCATATCAGAATTCTCTACCTCTGCAGGGGAATAATGAGTGGCATCTTGGATGGAAGCTACTTAGTTGCACACCACTGAACCAAATGGATGCCTTCTACATCATCACTGATGTGGTCTATGTTCACAGTTCATATGTGCAGTCTGCTAATCTTATCAGGCCCTGTCAGACTCCAACTACCAGCAAACCTTGCTGCTCTAGCTGGAGTGTGCTGGGTGATTTGATGTCCTCGATCACTCCTTGCCTATGGTGTTTGTCTACTCTCAGAGAGATAGGGTGGACCTGAGTATAAAGTGTCCCTCACGCCCAGTCTTTTCCCCCTGGTTGACATCTCTGTTATACTGGGCAATGCAGCCAGTAGGTACGCTGTTAACGCATCCTTTATTTATTTCACTACATACACCATTGTGACCTTGTAACAGGAAGCTTGTATACAGGCGGATGTCTGTACACACAAGTTAGCAGAATAAACGGGCATGTTTAACGAACACCAGGGACAATGTAAAAAATCACTCTATAAAGTACTTTTAATTCTCATAACTACATTTTAATTTGATTGTGAATACACAATTGCAGCCAAGCTTTTTTTATGTTTAATCAGCTACATACTTTCCAGGTACATTAAAACAAAATATGTGCAATGTGTTTTAATTTGTTTTTTAGAAAGCAACCACTGCCTGAGTAGAAAAGTCTGTCCATTGCCAGCATTCTTTAGAAGCAGCAGTCTTTCTGCAGAGATCTGACACGCCCCTTGCTTACTCAGGGCTACAAATCTCCAATCGGCAAAGAGAATGAGTTATCTGCAGAGAAACCACTGCTTCCACACAGAACAAGGGTCCTTCTCTGTGACATGCTAATGGGGGGACAGGCTTCTCTACTCAGGCTGTGGCTGATTTCTAAGGAAAATCTTTGGTTTTGTTGCCCCTGAATTTTTTTAAATAGTGCTATGCGGTAACTGGTTTTCTCTCATAGTTCTCTTTAGGGTCTCTGGAGGACATATACTAACCTCCTTCCGTGACCCAAAGCTCAGTATATAGCGAGCTATTGCCGGGACGGATCCTGACAATACTATTGTGATCCACCCAGCTGCGTGAGTGACAGTGGGCTCTGACTATCTAGAGCCAAAGCCAGTTGTGCCCTCCCTCGTCCATTCCTGGAGTCAGCGCTGAAGGATCGGGGAGGGGGCAATCCCTGCGGGCAGCGGTGACTGACGGTTACCGCTCTTTGCAGGCAGATGATCGGAAAGTGAGCGAGTGACGGTATGTGTTCGCTCACTTCCTGATCGATAGAGCCGACCTGTGACAGCTTCTTTGTCACAGGTCGGCTCTAACTATGAGGATGGAGTGGAGATCACTCACCTCATAGTTCTCCTTGTAAGCTAATTTTAATTGGGCTTTATGGCAGGTAGACAGATCGTCTTAGAATATTATAGTTCTGTCTAAGTCCCTGTTCACACCTGGGCGTTTTGTTGCTCAAAGCGAAGTGTGACGAAACTCACGTCTATTACCTCGGTTTACACCTTTTGTTGCAAGCAGAAAAACATCTGTCGCTGGAAAAAAGTACACAAGTTACTTTTTGGCAGATTACAGAGCTATTTTTTCCCATAGACTTCAACGGGAAAGTTTGTGCGACCAAACGCTCAGGTGTGAACAGGGGCCATAGAAATGAATGGCGTGCCTTGTCTTGAGCGATTTGTCACGCTTAGCTTTGAGCGACAAGAAGCCTTGGTGTGAACGAGCTCCAATTTGTATGTGAAGTTTTGTTTCTCCTTTAAATTCTTGGGCTCCTGGACTGAATGGGTTCTGAATTCTACCTTTGCCCACCCATAGAGAGATGGTAATCGCCTTGTCGTTTCCCTTTCCTTGTCACCGTCCTGTGTGAGAAGACTTGCCGCATTATGTAACCAGGTTGAGTAGGCGGTGAGGCTAGTAAACCTGAAGGGTTAATAATGCAGCCAAGGAGACAATGATAAAATCAGATTTGAAGAAGAAAAAAGCCCCCGCTGCTCAGGATTTAACAAGAGTAAATCAATTTACCTGGAGCAAACTGCAGTACATGCTGCGCGGTGTGATGTGACAGAATGATAAACAGCCTTTTCTCCCACTGCAAACAGTCTTTGTTTTTTGATGAATGGATTAAAAATTTTAAGTGGTTTACAGCATTGCCGTGCTGGGCTTTATCTTTCTGCTCATCTAGAGGGCATCGGGCGTCTTCTCGCCCCAAACCTTCCAGACTGTAAGAAGTTTGAATATCTGGCGCCGCGTTCCCTCAGCTTGCCGCTTTGGCTGTGATAATTGGAGATGGTTTTACAGGAATCATTGCTCTGAATACTGACGAGGATCACTGTGATTTTGTCAGATTGTCCAAAAGTGATTCGGCTTGTTAACGTATAACTCCAGATAGACAGAAGTCCCTGTGTGTGTTGTAGTCACCGCTTCAAACTCGTTCCCATGATGGACTACAATCTCAGCATGAATTTGTAAACTAAACATGAGATTGTATTCCACCATGGGGGTGATCTTGGAGTGGTGACTACAACAGTAAAGGAGGGACACCGGAACTCCAAAGCAAGTCCAGTATCTGTTTATTGACGTACTAGTAGCATGTAGAACACTCTAAACTTAGAGTGTTCTGCTTGCAACTAGTACGTTAATAAACAGATACTGAACTTGCTTTGGGGTGCCGGTGTCCATCATTTACTGATATATTGTCGGAAGCCACCTGCGGCACCCACCCTCCATTTTTGTGCGATGGATACACGGACTGTATACTGGTGGCTACAACACACAGGGACCATGGGGAATAAAAGTAGTCACCCTCCAGAAGGAAGGACAGTGTCGGCACCAATTCAGAGATGATTTGAGGATCTGCAGCCGAGTGATACACAAATAAGATACATTGTTAATAATTAGGGTACTTGAATGTATTTTTATGATTTAACTCCTGAGTTTAGTGTCAAAATGGCTGCACACCTTTCTATAAAAAGCTAACAATTTATCCTCCATCATTCAAACAGTTCAATAGAAGCCCATCTGCTTTGAGTACATTCTTGAAAACTCTCCTAAGCACTCCTAATGTGAGAAAGCATGCTCTTTTCTCTGTGTATTGGAAACTTTTACCGCATTTGTAACTGAATAGCGACATCATAAAACATTATTGGTTAATTAGGATACTTGAATGCATTATTAAAATTTAACTCCTGAGTTTAGTGTCACTTTAATATTGAAAAAGCTAAGGTTATGCATTTGAATGGTAAACATATTCATGCAAGCTGCTCATTAGGAGGAGCTCCTGTGGGGAAATCGGAACTGGGGAAAGATTTGGAGGTCCCAGTTGACGTTGTAATATGCAATGCCAGGCTACAGCAAAAATGGCTAGCAAATCGCCATCATGCATAAAAAATGGTATGTACTGTACTTCAGAGACAAATCCATAAATGTACCATTATATAAAACACTGGTCTGGCCCCATGTTGAGTATGCGATTCAGTTTTGGTCACTGATCCACAGAAAGAATGATTTTTCAGAGCTCTTACTGTGAAGTCTTTCCAAATGCAGAATGCAACGAGTATCCCCTTGTTCTTTTAATTAACCTTATGATTAACTTTTTGTACCAAGCTCACTATATGGACTGTATGTATTTGTACGTTGTGATCATGTCCCCCCTTAATCACAGAGAACAAATTCAGTTCAGCGAATCTTCCCTCATAGCTGAGCTCCTCCATGCCGCTTATCAGTTTAGTTGTTGTTCGCTGATTTCTCTCCAGTTGCCTGGTACCCAAAACTGAACTATATACTTGACATTGCATGCTATTAAGTCTAAGTTCCCGAATTCCCAGATCTCTGATTTACTTCCCAAGAAGATATTATGAATGCATGTTTTTAGAATGCAGAACTTTTCATTTATCAACATTAACCCTCGTTTGTCACATAGCTGCCCAATCAGACTGAGCATTCAGGTCAGCTTG